GTATTTCTTGCCATGCTTGGGACACTTTCCTCAATTATTTCTTGGAGTAGAGTATCTGTGCTTTTTGTACCATCCTCTCCTCCTTCAGGGATTCCTATGAGGTGAATGTTTGTTCTTTTGGAGTGATCCCACAATTCTCTCAAAGAATGATCCATTTTTGTTCTCCACTTCTCTTCCTCTGAGCATTTGGTACTTCCCTGTGCAGGTTGCAAGAGCCCACAGGGAGCTGGAGGGCATTGCCACTGCCTGCAAGGGGCACAGGAGCCAGATGGGGAACTGGAGGGCAGAGCTGCTGACCCTGGGTTTTGTGCTGCAGGAGCCAAGTGGAGAGCTGAAGGACAGGGTTGTCATCTTGGGCTATAGGTCAGGATCTGGGCAAGAGTTGTAGAGTGTGGGTCATGGGTTGCAGGGGCTGGATGGGGATCCAGAGGGTAGAGTCTGTGGCCATGGGCTGCATGGCTCACAGGAGCTAGGCGGGAGTCACTGTCCATGGGTATGGGTCATAGAAGCTGGTTGGGAGTCACCAGCTGTAGGCCGTGTGTCTCAGGAGCCAGGCAGAAGTCTCTGACTGTGGGCTGTGGGTCTCAGGAGCCAGAGGGCAGAGTCACTGGCCATGGGCCACAGGTCACAGGAGCCAGGTGGGAGTCACCAGCTACAGGCCGGGCGTTGAGATGTCTGGCAGGGAGCCTATCCACTCAATGCAGGCTGCAGAGCCAGGGAGCCCATGGGCTGGTCCTCAGTGGTCAGTAGCACAGGACCCGAGCTATGTTCTTTCCAATATGGGACAAGTCTTTCTCCCCTTGTGACTCCCTGCCTCTATTAAAGTTATAGTTTCAGTTCAACTATCCCACAGCTCATGAGGTGCCACCCCCTAGCAAAAATCTGCCAAATGCTCTAGATTTTGCAGGGGCTAGTCTTCCAGACCACCAGGAGATGGAGGAGGGGTAGATTTGGAGTTCAGGAAGGTAGGGAGAATATTAGATCATCTTTTGTCCCAGGCAAGAGATTGCCTGGACTTGTAATGGTATCTCTCTGTGGAGGGAGTTCCGCCCCTCAGTGCTTCTTTTCTCTTTGGTGAAACAAAAGGTCCTCTGTTCTCTACTCCCCTCAAGCCACTCTGGGGGGGGGAGGGAGGGGGGAGGAGGGGATTTCTGTCCTCTTTGGGATAGATTTTGTACCTGAAATTTGTTTCCTTGGAATCCCAGCTTGTCACAGCAGGGGTGATGTGAACCTATTCATCTTGTCTCTCATCTCAGCTCCTGATCTTCCACTTTATTAGGTTATCACTGGCCATTATTTCTCCCTCTGGAGGGGAGCCTCTGCTGAAAGCTGGCTTCAGTCAACCATCTTGCCTCCCTCCCCAAGAAGAAGAATATAAATATAAAATCACAATGTGGTTCTTTAAAACCCGACAAAAATATTGATAAATACAAGTACCAAATGAATGACATGAACAGACAATAGCAACTTTTGGTTTCTAACGTTTCTAAGAATTGTGTGCATATACAGGCTGTTCACATGGTTTATTTACTTACAGATATTTATATAGAAACCAGAATTATGTCAAAATACACATAAACACATACACAGGAGGTAGTGAACTATTTTTACTTAGGAGGTAGTGAACTATTGTTACTAAGATATTAGGAAAATTATTTTGAAAATTTATGAATATTTGCAATATGAAATCTGTTTCAATTCATTTGCTAACCTGTATTATCAGTTTGTTGAAAAGCACACTGGAATCACAGTTTCAAACTTTACTATGCATAACAATCATCTATGAAGCCTCACACAGAGAGGCTTTGTCTGATAACTCATGTGGGGGTCAGAAATTCATATTTTAATAAGCTCCCCAGGTATAATTACAAAAAAGCAATCCATATACCACATTCTCCTTCTAGTAATTAAAATGGTTTCCAATTATAAGATGTTTCAAGTTATATTCCAAACATTAGGTGTAGTGTCTTAAGACTCTGCTGACCTTTTCCTGATAACATAATAACTTGTTTAATTAATATAAACATCAAGTCCTAGTAGTTCTTATTAAGGTAATAATTATACTTTTAAAAAGTATACTAAATACATATATGATGATTTCTAATATTTGCATAGTACTTTAAATGAAAAACCACTTAATATTTAGCTTGTATTTTCACATCATTTCAAACAATGATGATTGTAAAATTATTTAATATAGATGAATTCTATAGATTGTGCAATAAGTCAGAAAATTAAAAGAAACACTATTAAACACTCTAAAGTTACCTTATAACCTTGTTTTTAAACCTGGGTAATATTTTGGTTGATTAAAATTTCCTTAGAAAACAGAGCTAACATTTAAAAAGGTAGAGTCTCCATGCTGAGTTGAGATATATACAACACAAACTGTGTGACTTGGGGAGAGTTGGGAAGCCTGCTGCTATTTTTGTATTATAGTGAGGATATCATCCCTCAAATTTTAGTCTATTGACATTTTGTCAGATGTTTCTGTAACCTCCTTGGTCTAAATACAATAGAACCTCTATAAGTCAACCACCCAAAGGACTATAACAAACTGTTCTACATGCTGAGGTGGTCAATATAATGAAATAAGTCTACTGGTGCATGTCCTGTCTGTCAAAATTAGGTCAACTTAAAGAGGTGGATGATCAATGTTTTTTATCGATAAGCATTAAAGTGTACTAGAAAACTGTTTTTGTTGTATGTAGGTGGGCAGGCAAGCTAGGACTGATTTTCAAAGAGCAAAATATTGAGATGTCCCACTTAATTCACTCTTTGGATGTAGGTGGAGAGAATTTGAGACCTCAAAGTTAGCTGAAGAACAATAAAGGTATAAAATAAAATTGTGGCTTATTTTGAGTGTCTTACAGTCTCTAACTGTTTCATAGACAGAATTTGTGTAATAAAACTTCTGACATTTAGTCTGAAATGCTGGAGACTCAAGTGGGGCTGGTAGAGAGTGTGGTTGGTGAGTAGGAGGAGTCAGTAAACACATATTGATAGGGCTCTACTGACAAAAGACTTTGGAGCAGCGGTTCTCAACCTGTGGGTTGCGACCCACAGGAACTGTATTAAAGGGCTGGGGCATTAGGAAGGTTGAGAACCTTTAAGGGAAATTAGAAGTAAATATGACCCCAAATCTATAAATAAAATCAGTTACATTAAGAAGTAGTTTATGAATCAAGGGCAATTGGTTCTTCCTCTAAATGATGTCATCTTTTCAATGTTTATATAGGGTCATAATACCTAGTGTCATAACAATTGATTTAAAAAGAATTGTCTATTTATTTGTACAAAGGGAAAATTGAATGAAAAAAGACATGTTAATATATTGTAATATGTCTGGGGAAGCTAATGGTCAGATTGTAATGCCCCAGCCCAGGGCACCTGAAAGATGTATATGGGAAACTAAATCAATGCCATGAAAATGACATACTGTATAAGACTATACCACTGATAGACTAACCGGCCTGCCATGTACAAAAAGCATTTGGGGTGGTTATTTAAAGAAGATAGTCACAGTCCTAACATTTTTTAGTCCTTTTATATAGCCATAAACATATTTTGTGGATTAAAACTCAACCAGGTAAAAAATGAAATGGCTTCAGTGTCCTCTGGACACCTGGCTCAGCTCTTCTAGTGATGGGCTTGAGGAACAATGTGAAGGGGCACTTTGGGTTTCAATTGCACCCTATAAAGACTTCCTTCCACTTGACTGACAACCTCCTTCTGAATAATTCATTTATTTAAATACTCAAGGAAGAGTCCTCTGGTGTTGGCTGAGCCTGATAAACCTGAGAGCATCATCAGAGAACACCCTGGTCTGTTGGCTTTTTAGAAAGCTTTGAGCCCTGAGTATAAAAGCACCATCCCTTCCAACCACTGGGTTTCAAGTTTTCAGGTCTTTAATATTAAGAAGAATGTTATCCCAGCCTAAATGAATGGTTTTTAACATATTGGTATTGGTATTTGAGAGTTTGGTAAGTTAAGGGAACAAAATTTGGAACTAAACTTTCTCAGTATCTCTCAGGTCTATCACTTTGCAGCTTATGACCATGGAAAAGTAAGTTGAAATCTCTGTGTCTGATAATCCTTATCTGTAAAAGTGGAGGAGTCATTGTGTTGTTATGAAGATTAATGTGAATTAATTCTGTAAATTGATTTTAAGCCTGTTTTATACTGATAAGAACCAGTCAGAGCTCTTTCATTCTGTATCCATAGGTGTGTGTAGTCATGTATTATTGGCTGAAAAAATGAAATAAGAAGTTGGAATTTAAAAAACTACAATTTTATAATACGTTACTCTAAACACCTTGAAGTTCTTTTTAATAGAGGAAGAGCACTGTCTTTTGACTCGTTCCTTAATTCAGCTTCTTCGTAGTCTTTTTTTTTTTATTCTTCCCTAGATTTGATCTTTTGGAGACGTCTCTACCTGAAACTGACATAATTTAAATGCCAGCATGTATTATAAATATTTTTCCCATGCCCATACCTAATGCTACCTAGAACATTTATTTACAGATAGAAACTCAGAGTTAGATGTTCATGGCGTCTAGATTTCTATCAGTATGTCATATACTTTATATTTATCAGTATAAAACTTGCTATGAAGATTTCTAGGATCACAAAAAATTGTCTAAATTTCTTTTTTTTAAAGATATTGCCTGCTGAAATTGTTTTGGAGTAATTATTATGCTGTCCTAACATTTTTTTCTTACACAAAAGACTGAAAAAACTATACATAAAGCAAAACTCTGTGTCTGTGTAAACTGAAAACAGAATTTGAACACATTGCTGTATATTCTAATCAATGTTACAAACACATTTCTTCTTTTGCTTAGGTAACATCCCAAGTGAAATCTCTAAATACACCTTTATTCTTTTTCATTTACAGGCATTAATGCTACTCTTAGATTTGATTCATAGTGTATATTCTGATTCAGATCACGCTGTTTCTTTCTTTCTTTTTTTTTTTTTAATTTCTTTTCTTTCTACAGTTTATTGCTTTTGCTTCTTTATTCTTCATTCTGGTTTCCATCACAACTTTCTGCCTGGAGACACACGAAGCTTTCAATATTGTTAAAAACAAGACAGAACCAGTCATCAATGGCACAAGCGCTGTTCTGCAGTACGAAATTGAAACAGATCCTGCCTTGACCTACGTGGAAGGAGTGTGTGTGGTGTGGTTTACTTTTGAATTTTTAGTCCGTATTGTTTTCTCACCCAATAAACTTGAATTCATCAAAAATCTCTTGAATATCATCGACTTCGTGGCCATCCTGCCCTTCTACTTGGAGGTGGGACTCAGCGGGCTGTCATCCAAAGCTGCTAAGGATGTGCTGGGCTTCCTCCGGGTGGTGAGGTTCGTGCGGATCCTGAGAATCTTCAAGCTCACCCGCCACTTCGTGGGCCTGAGGGTGCTCGGACACACCCTCCGAGCGAGCACCAACGAATTTCTGCTGCTGATCATCTTTCTGGCTCTAGGAGTTTTGATATTCGCCACCATGATCTACTACGCCGAGAGAGTGGGTGCTCAGCCCAACGACCCTTCGGCCAGCGAGCACACACAGTTCAAAAACATTCCCATCGGGTTCTGGTGGGCAGTGGTGACCATGACGACCCTGGGGTACGGGGACATGTACCCCCAAACGTGGTCAGGGATGCTCGTGGGAGCCCTGTGTGCCCTGGCTGGCGTGCTGACCATAGCCATGCCCGTGCCTGTCATCGTCAACAATTTCGGAATGTACTACTCGTTGGCGATGGCGAAGCAGAAACTTCCGAGAAAAAGAAAGAAGCACATCCCTCCTGCCCCCCAGGCCAGCTCACCTCCCTTCTGCAAGACAGAATTAAACACGGCCTGCAATAGTACCCAGGCCGACGTGTGTCCGGGCAAAGACAATCGGCTTCTGGAGCATAACAGATCAGGTAAGGTGCTACTTCAAATGCATGTTATTAAATGCTTTATAGACCTCGGGCAGAAGGCGGCCATTCTGGTTTTCTGCAAACGTTCTTGAGTTTTCAGTCCCTCCGCCTTTGCAGAGAGCGTGTTTGCGTCAGGCTGACGGACAGCTGGGCGGTAGCATTTCTAAAGGAGCCCCAGATAGAAGCGTGCGTCGCCGGTCTATAGAGTTCTCCTGCTTTGGTGGGATGCCCTTTGCTGATGGTGCCAATATTTTCTTTTGCCTGTTTGTTGCTCTTGTGCCGATGTTTCCTTGTTTCCCTGCACGCTGTGACGGTATGATACTGGCCATTTTCCATCCTTCATCCTCCAATGTCGATCTCCATATCATTGGGCTTGGCGTGCTTGTCTCAGTGCTGCCTCTACCCCACGGTGCCATGCACCTCAACCTCATTCACAAGAAACAGTTATATAAGAAGAACGGATGCTTACATTTCAAAGGCCTAAACACCAAACAGGTGATATGGACGAGAACCCCTTTGATGACAAAGCTTTTCCCAAGTAATATTCTGGAGGACTGATCAAATTTTCATTGTTCTTAAGCTAGGTAGAGTAACTTAATATAAGCACTTTGGTGAGGCAAGGTGGCATGTAATATAATCAACTTACTATTATTCAGAGAATAAGTGATCCACTTTGGCTACTTGATGGAAAAATGGAATTTCTTTGTGGATTTCCATTCTATGCACCAGACTTTGCTCCCTCCCAGATCTAAATTTTGAGTGATTTACCATTTTAAATTAGCTAAGTCCCTTCTCCCCTCCACTGCCATAGGTAATCTAGAGTTGATTGACTACAGATTTAGATTCAGTTTGCCAAAGTAGTGATAGTCAGTGGTGTCATCTCTAGTCTACTAGGAATGGTATACAGATGATATATTTTTGATTAAACAATTTATTTAGATTTTACCCTACTATGAAAAAAATAAGGTACATGAATTCCCTAAAACATAGGTATATTTCATTTTTTTCTGGATAAAAATGGCTGACGATTATTCTATGTGAATAATTTTGTTCAATTTATAAATAAAAAAAAATAACACCAATCAGCAAAGCAAAGAAACAAAGAAGGCAGGTGCCATTTTCATAGGTCCCTCTTTAGCTACCAAAAGCTTTTATGAGTTAGGTAGAAGGGGAAAAACAAAACAAAAATGTGCTGGAGCTGAACTACTGTTTGTAAGTTTTATTTATAATCTTTATGTTCAAAATATACCTAAAAACTATGTTCAATATATACGTGAAAACTGGTAAGAATATCTTTATGAAAGATAGAGTTTCGTTGGTACTGCTGTCATCAGACTGTTCTCCCAGCATATCTATTCCTGAAGCCCTTAAGAAGGATATAGAAAAAGAGGACACACTCTCATCCCAAGTAAACATTGTAATAACAAGCTAGTATCTAGGCTAATAGGATGTGAAAGTCTTTGGCAGGGATACAGAAGTAAACAGATAGTTATTTCAAGGGCATTTGGAGAAACTGAACTTGTCCCATTGTATGCTCAAAAATATTTTGCTGCTCCAAAATAGAGTGCCTGAACAACAAGTCTGTGCTCTTTGGAATTATTTTTATTAAGATTTTTAGGAAAAAAATACTTTCAGAAAATAATAAAAGTATATTTCTTAAAGAAGTACAGAAAAATTATTAATTTAAGAACTTTTTCTTAAATAGGCTTCACTCTTAAAGATGCCTATTCAGAGTATCTAGTATGTGAAAAATTGTAAGATTATAACTTATGCCCTATTTCATTATCACACTTACTTTGAATTTGACAGTGTGAAATCTTATTCCCTATTACATAAAATCCAGAAAGAAATTAAAATTTCCCAAAGTACATTCCACTCCTGTTTAATACATTTCCATTTTGCCCCCATGTAATATTTATGTGAAGAGTGATGAAAATTCTTTTTCTTATTGTGATGTGATTCTCTGTTTTGTATATGGAGTGACTGGACTATGGGCATTCCGTGTAAACTCTTTGTCCTGTCTCATTTCCTCATCCGTCACTGTCTGTCAATGGGCATGGTGCTGTGACAGTGTTATCAGGTGACGACAGTACAGGAAGTGAGCCGCCATTATCACCCCCAGAAAGGCTCCCCATCAGACGCTCTAGTACCCGAGACAAAAACAGAAGAGGGGAAACATGTTTCCTACTGACGACAGGTGATTACACGTGTGCTTCTGATGGAGGGATCAGGAAAGGTAGGCACGCATCTACTCAGATCATAACAGGTGACTTCATAATTAAGTGCTGAAAATACATGGAGTAATGTGAAATGCTCATTCGTCATTTTCTGGACAGACTGCATGCAGTGCTCTGTTCTTCTCTCCATCGCATCTTTTCTCTTTAGAAAAAAATTTTAAATACATAATAGTGATGATCATATCTGAAAGGCATTTCATCCTTTTTTCCCTCCCCCCTTCCTTCCTTCTTTATTTCTTTCATTTGCCATTTGTCTATGAGCAGAATTGGAATGGAATATGTAAATATTAAATCACTCGTCCAATTATTTTAATATAATATACTAACAGTCTTTTAATGTTATCTTTTTCAGTACAACAAGTAAAACTCACTAATTGGCTCTATGTATATATTTCTTGAGTAATTGATGACTATAAAATATAAGGGTCTAAAAAATAAAATATTACACATATTCCAATTAAGTCTCTTATCCAGTACATGGGCAGTGTTTGCTGGTGGTTTATCTGAGCATCTCAGGGTTGCAGAGGTGCGGACACTGAGCCACGTGGAACAGTACAGCTAATGCCTAGAAATGCCGCTGTAGATTGACAAAGTGTGCTTATGGAATTTCTCTTCCGGAACAATAATAATTTGTTACTATTGTAATAATAATAATAGTATAATAGTTTTACTGCTTTTCAACAGGCACTAAATAGTGCCTGACACATAGAAGCTAATAAATACTTCTTGAGGGGATAAATTGTTGTGCAGGCATCTTTGTTAGAACACAGAATACTGAAGTTCTACTTCCTCACATCGTTCCCTTTCCTCAATTATACCACTCTCTATGACTATTCCCTGGGTGCTTTTTGGGGTGTGTGTGTGTGTGTGTGTGTGTGGTAAATTTGATAAACCTTCGGACAATCAGAATGTTTTTCTTCTCTTTAAGAGAAGTCTTGTGAAAATTATAACGCACTTTTGTCAAAATGTTTCTCGGCTCCTTGATTAGTTTCTACTTTGACAATTCCAGTTGCTTTCCCACCGTAGTTATTTTTTTTTTCTTGTATATTACTGGAAGAGGGGAAAAAACTATTATGATTTCTTATGGTAGTTGACTAAATTTGCATGAAAATCTACTCCAAAACTTTCAGATCAGTGCAACTGCATTTTAAAAATACCAAGCTTATTTGTTATCCATTCCAATTTCTCCCTATTGAATTCTTTACCATTTTAAACCTTGAATATTTATTTGTGATGCCCTCTTTCTGTTCGAATATCTCATTACCCACGTTGTGCTTCTCTTTCATTCCTTCTGATCACTTTAGATTGCCCTTCTCTGCCTCTATGCCTTTGAGACTCAAAAGAGAAGACAAAAGACTCTTCTTTTATTCCTTCAATGAGAAATATTTTAAATACTTCTCCATTCCAATTACTTCCATCGTTTGCATCTATTTCTTGCACCAAATGTATTGCAATCACCTGAATAAATTTGTTTGATGGTTTTACTATTTTACAATTAAGTATGTGCTAGAAACATTTTAAATATTTTATGAAAAGAATTAATACCATATTATAGTACTTGAGCAAAATGTGTATATTGAACAATGATAATAACATTTAACTAATATCTTAAATAAAACATATTGTATACATGTATATATTTATATGTACATGGGATAAATCTACATAAAGGTAGATAAATCTACATAGATTTATCCACATGTACATATAAATAGATATGTATGCATATATACACATACATATGTACACATGTATATATTTATATGTATGTGTGGTTAAATTTACATAGATTTTTGAGCATCATTTAACGAAGTATCACATGAAATATTTGTACTAAGATTATGTGTTTAAGAACCTCACCAGAATTTGTTGTCTTCCAGGTTAGACAATATTAATATTTTGAATTTTATACTGTCAGTGGAAATCACAGATAAGTAAAGGCTTTGCAAATTAAAAAGCACTATGAAAATGTAAAATTTTACTGTAAAATTGTGAATTTTCATAAGCAAAGCAATTAATAAGATATTTAGTTTGCATGGAAAAAATATACATGCAATCTTATTTCACAAACACAAAATCACTTTATCAATAAGAATATCTTTGAAAGTTCATCCATGAGCTTTTCATTTTTTGTCATTTCTTATCATTATCAACTCTTTTTCTTTCTTGCTTACTTGGTTTATAGCTGTGTTTTTTTTTTTTTTCTAGACCTGGTAAAATTTCTGGCTAACTTCACTTAATCTTTTCAGTGTGTTACCATGTCATATCTACCATGAATTCATTTCATTTCTTGTCATGTTATCTTTTGTGTAGATTTCTCCTGTCTCTTCCACTCAAACATTTATTTCCTATATAGTCCTTTCATTTATGTTTCACGTTAATCTCTCTACTAATTTGATTTTAATTCTCTAAAAATTCTTCCCTCATGTAAATGGAAAGATATTACTGGTTTTCCAGTGAATCCTTTTTCCATTTCTAAATATGAATATATTGGGGCATATACTAAGAAAACTTTAAGGATTGCAGTGATCTCCCAAAGATGATCTCCCATCTTTTTATTTAGAGTGTAGGGTTTAGGAAAGCGCATTATGTTGTCTACATAGTGCATCAACAGGCACTCTCAATATTGCTCCAAATAAGCACATGCTCTTGAGAACTGTATAAAATGAAGGCTGTGCATTTAATGTGAATTCAAACTGACTTTAGTATTTTTTATTCTCAATAATATTTTCAGCCATTCAGTAAAGCCTTAATTAAGAAAATTTTATTGTTTTCTAATCAGAAGTAAATATGCAGAATAAAGAAAAAATATATATCAATAACATGTAATTTTTTACTAATTAAATACTTTTTACTCAATTAGTCAGGAATCCTTTTCAAATGGACACTGAAATTGTAGTCATTGAAAATAGAGAACCTGTAAACAGAATAGATAATATTTCTGTTAAAGACTAGTTCAGAAAAGTAATATTTAGATAGCAACTAGGAGTTACCTATTACCAGTGTGAATAATATAAAATTGTCAGATTTCTACCTTTCAGGAGATCCTGTAGGGACCCTGGAGATCATGGAGAAAACACATATATTTTCCCAATGATTTGTAGGTATTAAACAACTCCTTTGGTTCATACATATTTATCAGTTTTCCTTTAATAAAAATTAATCAATGTTTATAGTCTAGTTTACATTTTTAGGTTATAGAGGTAACTCATGCATAGGATAAATTGCTTTTTCTATAATTCCCCAAGTTATATTTTCAGTCACTTTATAAAAGATCAGTAATAACTAATCCTCCAGGCACGTGAAGTTTTCCATGTAGGAATAAATTATTTGCAATTTTTTAAATTATTTAAGATATCCTCCCATTAGCTATTCCATCATCCACCAGCACAGAATGAAATATATACCAACTCTCATGTTTTGTAGGTCAGAATACTAACAAAAAAAAATTGACAGATAATTCCTTCATTAGCAAAGATTATGTCCTAGAGAACTTTATCATAGTTAATGGACAGTATACACTTCCACCCACAAAATCTCAAAGAAGACACTTAGTCTGCTGAAAGTTAACATGTGTGCATGTTGGAAAGGGCAGTGTTCCCTGTTTCCCTTTCCCATACAGTCCAGGTTTCCTCCGTAATAGAGCTATTATTGCAATCCATCCCACATCTGTCTTGACTTCTCCCAAGTCAAATAATCAGCTAAATCACTTATCTTCTTCCAGTGAAAGGAGGAGGGGTAGCCATGGTTTCTTCCTTAGAAGTTCTGTGAAAGGATAGAATAAAAGAAACAAGTAGCTGGAAGAAATATTAGGAAGCATAAAAGATCCGTTTTTTTTAAAATATAATCATAAAGATCACCAGGGGCTAATTAGGTCCAAGAAGTGTACCACACACTCAAAGGGAGACAAGCCCACTGAAATTGTATCTCCTGGTTTAATTTTGTTTTCGCAAAGGGAATCTCATTTTACTTTTCTATAACAATTCTTCAATGGATCTGCCAAAACATTTATTTCCAAAGTTTGTATATGACTACATTTTTATTCAATATACAAGTAGTTGCCCTAATTTAAGACAATTTACTTCCTACGGTATGCTCAGTGTTTTCCACCTCACTTAACTTCCTCTAAACTTTTTTAATAAGAAAATCTCATAACATATGGGATTCTTCCAAAGGTGATCTTGATAGAGAGCATCGTTGAGTAGCTAAGGAAAACCACTGGGGTAAAGGTTTTGAGAAGACCTTTTATTCTATGATTTGGTGGCTACTATGAACAAAAAATCAGGATGAAAATAATAAGGAGAAAAAGTGAATTAAGATCAAATTGTTCTTAATTCTTGGGTGAGGGGATGGGGGAGAGAAATTCAGGTGAAAACATATGTAATCAAACTTTGTTTCACTGATTTTATGACTCAACTTATATTTCATTCATTTTATTTTTTTCTTTACTTTTTTATTAAAGGGATTAGAAATGGGCATTCCATTCTACATCACCTGGATAATGGCATCAAAGCCATTATTTAAGAATCATCCTTTTAACACTATAAAGCTGGAAGATTAAATATGCTGGAAAAAGAGCTGTCAACTTAAACTTAAGCATGCCTTATGAGCTTAGTAAATAATAAACAATGAAAAGAGAAAAATTGCTGACTGATTTTTCTTTTTTTCAGAAACACATCTTAAAATTTAAACCTATTAGTTAATCTTATATCTTACTTAAGTTGCTTTGCCTAATTCTTGAAAGAGTTCTAGTAAAATATATGCCAAAATTATATTAACACTAATCTGGGAAGGAATGGATTTTGAAATATTATGATTGTAATTCATGATAACTGTTTTATTCTTTTGGGAATGACAACTACAGTGAGCTTCCTTTTTTTTAGAGTTATAAATTGTTTCAATATTGAATTCTTTGTAAACAAATTCTTTGAGTTTGAAAATAGCACTTTGTTTGTCTGTGTCTATTTTCTGGTTAAATTCAACTGATGTCTGTGCATTTTTTCATAAAAGGATATGAAAAATCTCGAAGCTTAAACAACATAGCGGGCTTGGCAGGCAATGCTCTGAGGCTCTCTCCAGTAACATCACCCTACAACTCTCCTTGTCCTCTGAGGCGCTCTCGATCTCCCATCCCATCTATCTTGTAAACCAAACTGCATCAGTCGGCTAAATTGTATAAAGTCAAGTACTGTTTACCCCTATCATGGAAATAATTAAACGTAGAGTTGCTCCAGGTTCCATTAATACAGTATAAATCTTGCATGGTATTACTATTTGAAGTCAGAAAAGCCACTTGGGTAGCTAATGAATCTTATCCAGGCTTTAACATTTATCTAAAGTAGTGTTACACTTCTCTATATTAATTTCCCTGACTTCCTTTTGCAATAAAATCACAGATAGTGTCAGACAATGGCCAGTACACTAATACATAAAACATATCTTCAGGGAGATATATTTAAAACAGTGTGCTTCTAAATGCCAATCACTTCATTGGAACTTCATTTTGTTGTGACTCTAATCATTCTGAAGATGTCTGGGATTCTATCTTGATTTCATACAACATGACTTTGGTCAGCTCATTTGCATGGACCATCTCGTGTCTATCACCTGAAAGCAATGTTGCCGAGCTCGGGGACTGTGGATAGCTCAGGATACGTGTACTTGCATCGACCCATCCTGCTGATATAAATGCACTGGTCTACTGTTCTGCATGCTGATTTGTGGGGTGGGTGAGATGGGGGTGAGTTTCTTCCTTGACATTTTTTTTCTTTATTCTTTGAAAGAAATATTGTTTTAAATAGTTAACTTTCTTGATTGACTTACTTTTCTTTGAAAATGATGTATTGGAGTTCTGAATGTCTCTGGTTGTTTGCACACAGATAACTGCAAAGAGGTTGTCATTACTGGTTACACGCAAGCTGAGGCCAGATCTCTTACTTAATGACTTGGGGAAGGCACAAAACATGAGAGAAAGGTAACTGCCAGCCAGGCTTGCATTGTCTAGCCAGGAATTGCTGCTTGGTACTAGAGTCAATTTTTTTTTTTTTTTTAATCCTAGGGTTTGTCATCATTTTCAAAGGCAGGGTGCCAAATATCACCCAAAGCTCTCCTGTCTTTTTGGTTCCCTTTCCTTTATTTTTATTTTTTTTGTGTGTGTGTGCAGACATCAAAGGTCATGGGTGTTCACACAGGAGGCTTTTTTGACTAGCCTTAAATTTCTGAATCAAAGGATTAGTAGGATTTTCAGGCAGTGTTTAATCAGGTGCTTTGTCCTGTATGTTGTTTCTGTCTGTCTGTCTTAGCTCCCCGTTTTAACTGTATATGCCATCTGTCTCCATGAAACACAGAAATGCCTTGATAAGGTGTTCATGATTTTAGTGCTGGGTCCCTCCCAATTCTTGCCTCCTGCCTTCTTTGCAATTTGGAGCAGCCTCTCTGCTTTGTGTACAAATTAATGACGCCCCATAGTCCACCTAAGTTAATCAGCACTGAATCTTTTTGTTAAGCAGGACTTAAACAGCAATTTTACCATTGCACTTGGCTGCTGCTGCGGTGTCTGTTTTTACTACCTAGCAACCAGCATTCATTACTACACTCCAGCGAAATCCCCAGGGAGTCTTACTCAGTCTGAGTGGAAGAGAAGTCTGTTTCTGCATCCCTGTGTGTATTGAGCATGGGAGGGAAGAAAAATGCCATATTATAAATGGAAGGATAAAAAGTATTTCTAAAGCATTCAGGATCTTTCAGACTGTTGATTAATTCCTAATTCTCATGTTTATTTTTTCAAGTTAGGGAGACAAAAGTCACTTTTGTTATTGGCCACAAAATGTGTATTAATTACTTTATATCTCCAAGTCCTAGAGCATGACCTGCATGTAAGAGATCTTGTACAGCAATGTATTCACCCAGACGTAAATATCTGATACTTAGAGACACAGCGATACTTTTGATAAGACCACACATAGAATATTATAATTACACACACATTTATGGTAAAGGAATTAATATGCTGTCTGGTGCTGCTGTTATTGACTACAGTGTTGTACAGAATTTATCATGGATTTTTGGCTGCTGAGAAAGGGACAGTGGAAATTAGCCATGCCAAGGACTATACTGGAAACAGACTTCTGCTGCTGAATGTGCCCTGATGTGACCAGTTTGCACTTGGAAGAGAGCCCCGTGTCTTCAGGAGGCATTGAAAGCTTATAACAGAAAAGTGGCTAGAACTCATCTGGTGCTCCCCATGAGAGGTCTGCTTGTCACCGGCCAGTATCTATAAAACAACTGTAAATACCGACACACACGAGTGCATGGGTCAGTGGCTTTGGCCATCTCACATCAACGAAAGCCAAATTCATGAGCAACATCTCTGAAGCTTCAAGCAAGGCCCATGATGTCTTTGAATTACCCCTCATGGGCCCACAATAGGTTGTGCTGTGAATTATGTAAGGCAGTGATACTGATGTAGTATAGGTCTGTCTTAATTCCCTTATTCCTATTTTGTTGGTTGAATCTATGAACATTGTATCATTTTCTTATAAACCACTTGTGTTATCAGCTTGTCAATTACATTGTGAATTTTTAGCTGTCTGTTTATTAAAATTGACATGTTTTTTAGTCACATATTCATTTAGTTTGGGGAAATTGTTGTGGCTTAAGTGAAACTCACCAACGCTATTCATAGTTTAAGTCTTCTGTCATTATTACCTCAATTATAAATATTATAAGAATAAAATTCTGGCAATGAGAGTATTTTTTTATTAAATGATTAAGGCGCAATGTCAGTATATAGAATATTAATCAAATTATATCTTAAAATGTATATTTTGCATAAAAGAGATATTCTTTAATCAATTACTTTTTTGTGAGTTTTGTGTCAAAGGAAGCTTGTATGTCTTTAAAACTGTTGTAGTTGAAAGTATATAAGAATTTTTCATCTTGCTTAATCAATATTTCCAGAATGTATAAATTCCCCTGGGATTCTGAATATAACATGTAACCTAACTATGAAACCCTGTGTTGTGGACCTTTTGTGAACATTTCAAGGTGCATGCACAACCTTGGTGATAACCGATGATAATGTAACAACTGAAATGAAGAATAAAAGGCAAATGAGCTGGGGATAAACTTGAATCCCATCTGATTAAATTATTCGTATATTTTTTCTTGGCTTCCTTTTGTGTGTGTGTGTTGCAATTTTCAACAGACTTTACTAATTTTATACTTTATGGTATCACACCAGACACTCATGCATAATAAAGAATTTGGGATAAAAGGACATAAAATCACATGATTCCTACTTTCATTCAAGTCTCAGGCATGGAGTCAATGCTTTCTTGTTCCTTTCATTCCTTTTGCTTTGCCTGCCTATACAGGATGGCCCAGAAGTCACCCCTAAAGTCGCCATACATAGAGAAAATGGGAAATGGGAGCTAAACATACCTTTATTTACAAAATATTAATTGCACAATTTGACAAAAGACTTACAAAATTTTCTGTACATGTTTGTTCAAAATTTTACAAAGAGGGGACCAACATGTACAGAATATTTTTGTAAGTATTTTGTGAAATTTTGGAATTAATATTTTGTAGGTAAAGATACTCTTTTTTTTTTTTTTTTTTT